AGGAACTTTTTGAACTTTTTAATTAAAAGTGAAATTTTCAAACTTGAATGAAGCCGGGAAGTGGTAATAATAATAATAATCTTTGTATGATATATAACACCTTATCACATCTTTGAGGTGACTCAAAGTGCTTCGCAGAATATTCTGTAAAGTAAATTGACTGTATATTTTGTGGGTGAAACGCGGCAGCCAATTGCGCACAACAGCGTCCAACAAACAGTCGAGGATTCAGTGAACATCAACCTGAACAGGCTGCTAGGAAGGATAGCACCTCTGACAATTCAGCCGCCCTCCCCCAACGTTGCATTGGAGTGTGAGCTAACACCACCCTGACTTACCCCACCCTGGTTTACACCAGTCAACATTTCAGGTCCACAACCCTTCACCAGAACTGGGTCATGTTGAGAGGGAGAGGCTTTTAAGGACTAAGAGATGGGGGAGGCAGGGCAAGGAAAATAAAGGAGAAAATGGGGTAGAGGACTGGCGATGATGGGTTAAAGAGGTGTTAATAATGCAAAACAAAGGGGGTGATTGTAACAAAACAGGGGAAAAGAGGTGTTAATAGTCCAAAAAAACCAACTTCCTTTCTTCATAGATGCTGCCTGGCCTGCTGAGTGTTCTGAGCCGGGCTGACACACACTGAGCCGGACTGACATGCACTGAGCCGGACTGACATGCACTGAGCCGGGCTGACAGACACTGAGCCGGGCTGACACACACTGAGCCGGGCTGACACACACTGAGCCGGGCTGACACACACTGAGCCAGGCTGATACACACTGACACACACTGAACCGGGCTGACACACACTGAGCCGGGCTGACACACACTGAGCCGGGCTGACACACACTGACACACACTGAGCCGGGCTGACACACACTGACACTCACTGAGCCGGGCTGACACACACTGAGCCGGGCTGACACACACTGAGCCGGGCTGACACACACTGACACACACTGAGCCGGGCTGACACACACTGAGCCGGGCTGACACGCACTGAGCCGGGCTGACACACACTGACACACACTGAGCCGGGCTGACACACACTGAGCCGGGCTGACACACACTGAGCCGGGCTGACACACACTGACACACACTGAGCCGGACTGACACACACTGAGCCGGGCTGACACACACTGACACACACTGAGCCGGGCTGACAGACACTGAGCCGGGCTGACACACACTGACACACACTGAGCCGGGCTGACAGACACTGAGCCGGGCCGACACACACTGAGCCGGGCCGACACACACTGACACACTGAGCCGGGCCGACAGACGCTGAGCCGGGCTGACACACACTGACACACACTGAGCCGGGCTGACAGACACTGAGCCGGGCTGACACGCACTGAGCCGGGCTGACACACACTGACACACACTGAGCCGGGCTGACACGCACTGAGCCGGGCTGACACACACTGAGCTGTGCTGACACGCACTGAGCCGGGCTGACACACTGAGCCGGGCTGACACGCACTGAGCCGGGCTGACACACACTGAGCTGTGCTGACACGCACTGAGCCGGGCTGACACACTGAGCCGGGCTGACACACACTGAGCCGGGCTGACACGCACTGAGCCAGGCTGACACACTGAGCCGGGCTGACACACTGAGCCGGGCTGACACACACTGAGCCGGGCTGACACGCACTGAGCCAGGCTGACACACTGAGCCGGGCTGACACGCACTGAGCCGGGCTGACACACTGAGCCGAGCTGACACGCACTGAGCCGGGCTGACACACACTGACACACACTGAGCCGGGCTGACACACTGAGCCGGGCTGACATGCACTGAGCCGGGCTGACACATACTGACACGCACTGAGCCGGGCTGACACATACTGACACACACTGAGCCCAAGTTGACCATTCCCATTTTTTTTGTTTGCAGGGAATTCCCATCTGGAAGTGATTAA